TGAAGATTAATTCCTTTAAAAAGGTAGCTGTTGGCAAAGCCCCACCACCCTCCTGAATAGGAAGCCTCTTTAGCTACAGGTGCTTGGCCAACTACTTTATGGCAATTATTAATTATTTGCTTCCCAACACCTCTAACATTACCATATTCTGTTATTGTCTCCCTACCAGTGCTCTCTTGATTATTCAAAGTGTCCTTTAACTGAGGAGTGTGGACTTTATAACCTCCTTAAGTGGGAAAGTTTGGACCACTTAATACTTTGAGGGTGACTAGGAGTAATCTTGGTCTTTAAAACTGAGTCCTTCAGCACAGTGATAGTACTTGGCTTTTATATTATTGAGCCAAAGTTTCATACACATAGCTGACAGTTGTTGTGGTTTATTCTTGGCTTGTTTCTGGGGTTTTCTTCTTTGGAGCACTTCAAATTAGGTCTTTGTTGAAATTTCTTCAATCCTTATCTCTCTGCCCTTTCTTACTTTTCTTGTCATCATGAGTTAGACTAGATTATATCCACCAATTAGCCTGTTTTCAGTTGTTAGAAGCTTCCTTTTGAGTCAAATGTGAACCCTAAGTAAGTAAATAGCTCATCTCAACTACTCATGTCTCTACAGTGAATTATTCTCTTTCCTGATGGACTGTTTGAATTTATTAATTAAGCCAGATTACTTAGAGTTGAATACTCTAAATATATGTGGATTATGACATGTTTTTCTTGGCTTGACTAAAAGAGATTGAGAAGCCTTGTCCAGTTTGTTTCTCCCAAAGACTCATGTTTCTTCCTCTCAGTTCCTTATTCAATATGGTTTTATTATTCATTTCTTACAACCACTTTTTCACCACTTGTATTTAGTGTATTTATTCTTGACTGGATGCTAGTGAATAAAATAGCCTATTGGTTCTTTCACTCTTTTTCCGTGAGCCTCTCCCAAAAAAGAAATTTGTCTTTCTTGGCCCTCCTCTCAAACTTATTCTTTCATCTTGCACATTTGCTCTAAGATTCAACAGGTTTGCATCTGTGTTGAAGGATCAAATCTTTTGAACATCTCTGCTAAGTATGTATGTGAGGTACGCTGATGATGATTTGAGAGAAATGAGTTCAATTGCAGCTCCACTGGAGTTTTTTGTATCAGCTTTCCCAACCATTCCTACAAGCTGCTCATCCACTGTTTGGTCCAATTGTAATTTTGTCTGGGTTTTCTATCAATCTTCTCAAAATATCTGTCTCCTACATCATGACAGCCCAAAATGTATTTTCCCTCATTCCTCTAATCCAGGGAAAAAGTCTCCACACTTTCTCTTTGGAAATAAATCAACCTAATCTCACTGCAATGCCCATGTCCTTGGCTCCCACAAAGTAGTCATTTATAGAGAGCTGTTGACCACCTTGCAGATTGTTTTGGTAAATTAACCTGCATTCAATTGTTGATCCACCACACTTTGGTTTCAATTTTTTTTCTTCTGAAAAGCATTGAGATAAAAAATTGAATAGAGGCTAGTTGTAGTATCTTGATAGTTTTGATTGAGCCATTCCATGATTTCAATCAGGTACTTGACAAAAATTGGCCCAAAGTTGAAGAAAAGATTGTTCTGAAATTGCAGTGATGGTACTGGAAAAAGAAATGTCACAATGAGACCACCTGGCTAAAGAAGACATCATTCTGGGGCAATCCACTGCTTCCCACATTGACAGTCCATGATCCAGACACATGTGAAAATCTGGTACATAAATAAATTGGAAATCTACTTGCAGGCTGCCCAAAGTAAGGCAAGCTAACCCACCCCCAGATGATTGGAGATGCTGAACTCACATGTGTGGCCTTAAGACAGAAAATTGTAGTAAACAAAATTGTGATAAATGAATTTGTTGAATCTTTTGCTCATCGATCTCTACTGACTTCTTATTCAATATGCATAAATCCCTGCTCCCACCTCTTGTACACTCTTTGTATCTAGGCTATTGAAGACCCTAGATATTGAGAAATAAGAAAATCATTGGCTCTTTATTCTTTTTAGATTGTTCCTGAAGGAGCACTTGAGCCCTTCTTCAGTCTTATTCTGTAAGTGCAAGCTCTTCCCAAAATAGCTGTCATGATAATTTGCAGGAGTCATGCCTGCCCTTGAAAGAATATTGTCTCATGGTCTAATTTATAAGTGTGTCTGTATGATTTTAGGCCAGATCCATATAGCTGTGTATCCCGTATTTCACGTTGCAGATACCCTGAATTTTGTAATGCGCTATTTCACAATTGATGTTTACTGCAATGAGGACTGAGAAGAGGGGGAAGGACAACTGGAGACAAATTCAGAAAAAGAAGGCTCTGAGAGACATAAAAGTTTGAAAAGAGGGCTAACATTTCTGATAGCTTGTTTGTCAGAAAAGCAAGCATGTAACAAGAGGTTTCCTGTTGTTGAGACCTCAAGGATTAGGTGCATATGAACATATGATTTAAATGCTTTCTGCAAAGCATGTCTATATATATATATAAGCTATTTGTCAGCTCTGGTCTCTTATGTGACCTAGAGTTGATGGGTTTTGGGTCACACTTTAGCCAAAAGGGCCAGTGGAATTAAGCCTCTCCTCAACACTAGTACAATGGAGGGGCTAGCTCCTTACAATAATAAGGGACAACAGTGGAATGAGCTTCACTGTGCCGGTGCTTAAGAGAGCAAGAGGGATAAAGTTTGTACTAGTCTTATAAGTTAATAAAGTAACTTACAAGGACTAGTAATGAGATAAAGAGAAAGGTACAACAAGTTTTGTAGATAATATATTACTAAAAAACCCCACTCACTAAGTATATGTTTTAGTAAGGTAGTTGGGTTGGTATGGTAATATTGTCTGGGGGATGAATCTCAGGGGGAGAGACATCCTCTTAAATATTACAGAGCAGGAGTCAATCTGCTGCTGGGACCGGTGCAGTCCCCTTATTGTTACACTTTTCCTTGGGGGAAAGTGTCAGGATATTCAGAGCATGATAAATGTACATGTGCTGAATATCCTTTATTTCAGAAAATACCATAAGAGAGATAAACATAATAATCATACACCACAAGAGAGGTAAATAGGATAATCATCTCTTGGATACACCCAGGAGATGATTATCCTTTTCAACTTGATTATAATTTTCATGGAAGGGGTAAATTAATACAGAGGTGAATCTTTATTAATTTACAGAATAATTATTAACATAAAGAATACATGTAAAAAGGGATAACACTATTTTATAATTATTAACTTAAAGATTACATATAATAATAATTGTTATGTAAACCAAGGGGGTTACATTCTATTTTAGACACCTGGGCTAGTGTCTCAGTGTCTGACACTATTGCAGCACTAGGGGTTCAAGTTGTGGGACAGAAGAATAGTGAATATTCAATCTGGAATGATAGAAGGAACAGGAGAGTGAGTGACCAGGTGGATGAAAAGGAAAAGAGATAAGCAGAGAAATTCTTAACAAAATTTTTCTAGGTGAGTGGGGATCCATGTGGATGTGATAGTAGGAGAACTAGTACACAAGTTTTGATCCTCCTGTCTGGGGGGAATTGTGTCAAGTTGGGGCTCCACCTGGCACCAGGAATTATTATGAGGTATACACCCAGAAACAGTAGAGATAGATTCTCATTTAAATGCAGGCAATTCTGTTAGGGTTTTAGTAGTGGACTATGCAACTCATGAGTGGCAAGGTTTAACATTTTTCTAAGTGACCAAACAATGTAACATTTTTGAATGCCAAAATTCAGCTCCCCTCTGAAACCACTGCACATGCCTGTAGCTTTTGTGTCTCTATTAGCTAATCACAAGCCACTGCACTGAGTTTTGCTTTGTTGCACTGTATATAGCCACTTCCTATGCTAGATAGAAGTGTGCTTCAGGGTACATAACAGATGTAGTTTTCCAACACAAATTTATAGCATTAGTATTTAGTGGAAACCCCACACCTACTAACTGTAAGCAGGTTTCTACTGACTAGTAAGAAAATGTCTGTCTAATTACTTGCAATTGAGGTGTCAAGCTCAAGAAAACATATCTTTTCAGTTTTTGCTGGTGATCTGGTTGCCAATATTCAGGGCTTTTCTTTTCCATGATACTTCAGTAAGTCCTGTTGAACAGAGCAGGCCATGGCATTCTTATAGGAAGCCTGCCACAAGAGTGGATTATCTGTAAAGCAGAAAATTTGGCTGGACAGCTAGATACACCTATGCAAATTCAAGGACCTCTTTTTGGCTCCATTTCTGCCCAAAAATGAGTCCAATTTGAATGAATCAGATTCATACTTGCAGAGATTCCCATATGTAGTTATAACTGTATGGTTCTACCAGGACTACCAACCCTAATATTTCATCACTTTTTTTTTCTCTTTCCCTTCTCAGCAATAAATCATCAGCCTTGTCAGACTTCTTAGTGTGTTAGGCACTCTACAGAAGTTAGGAATACATTTAAATCAGCAAGATTGGATCAGAAAATAACCAGGCAATCATAATAATAAACTAGGAGGGAGTGTTTTGAAACTCGTTGAGAGCTTGTTGGAAGTTATCTATGGAGAAATTGAACTGAATTTTCCAAGTAACAAACCAAGTCTTGTAATACTTTTGGGCTGGAAGACCTTTGGTATCTGGGACCAAAGGAAGAAAATGAAGGAGTATAAAGAGTAAAGCAGATTCCAACTCATTTTTGATTTGGTTAGTGACTGCAGTGAATTCATGGCTGGCCGCATCACTGTAGGCCATATCGTTGTGGTAGAAGAGTTGGATGAGTATTTGAACATGATAGGCAACCCCTGCAACTGATTGACTAAAAATGTCGATTTCGTTTGAACTCATCTCGGTGTAAGGGGAAAGTCGTCTCTGATTCATCCCACGTTTTGATATTTTCATGAAAAAAAGCTTCGATAACTTGATGATCGGTATTGACAATCTAGCCAGTCGGATGACTGGCACATGAGTAAGTCTTCTCACGCTCGCTTCATATTCTTGGCGGAAATTGGGTGGCGGACTGATCATGGTAATGTTGTGCCGGATCATTTGCTCGATTTTGTCTAGCTCTGATTCCCAATCTTCCTGAGCGAGATCGAGATCAGACCATTGCGTCGATTCGATAGTCACGAGCTCAATCAGCTTCGACGCACGATATACTTCGTTAGATAAACGTTTTTTGTAGTGACATCTGTTGGACTGGCGCTTTAGGTCTTCAGGTGCAAGCTCGATTTGTCAAAAGAGATTTTCGGCATGACGAAAAATTAACCTCATAACTGGCAATACTTCGTCATGAACCCTTTGTTGCAGGTGGGAAATCCTGAACCATTTGAGAGCCTTGAGGTGCTGCTCTTTGGATTGGCTGTGTGGAGATGTACAGACGCTAGCAATGGTAAATTTGATTTGATCTAATGTGTGTTCAAGATCCGACTGGGTCTGTAAGATGAGCTCGAGGTCTTCGTTTGACTCTTTCCATAATCCAGATGGGATTGGTGATAGAGAGAGGGTCTTGAGTTGATTGCTGAGAAGGGGAAGGTGGTGCGAATGTAACTGATTCAAGAGATCTTCCTTCGAGTAGACTGAGTGGGCCAAGAACGCTTCGATTGCCCTAACATGCACATCGCCGAGTGAACTGCTTTTCCTTATCAGACGACTAAACCCTTGGACAACTAGATCTAAAGTGAGTTCATAGTCGAGTCAGTAAACTTGAGGTCTGTGAAAGTCAAGCTTACTGGTTCGGGAAATATTTGAATCATAGGTGCCTTCCCGGGAATCGCTCATGGTAATCATCTGGTGAAGGGTCAACAATTGAGCCGAGCAATTTTGTTGAACCATGTCGAACAGTAGACCCGAACAGAGCCCCGGCCGGAAGTCCTTTGCCTGGGTTGGAGCCCGTGTTTTATGCAAATGAATAAACATAGATGTTCATGTTGTCATTAACTTGCATAGCATTTGCCAGCGATGAGGATGCTCTAATATACAGTGTTGAGGGAGAAACTTCTCAAAACAATTCAAACTGAAGCAGAATCGAACAGGAAAGGTAAAGTTACACATCATGGATGGTTATCGATTGATCTAGCAAATTGGATGAAATTCTCAGTAGCTAAGATACGCTGAGTATTCCAAGTGACAAACCAATCCTTATAATACTTTTGGTTTGGAAAACAGTCAATAATATCTGGGAGTGAAGGGACTAGATAAAGCATTACGGCCAGCAAAGGAGATTCGAAACGAGACTTGAGATTGTTGGCGATTTGGATGAGCTCGGGGATAGTCGAATGGAGTTCATCAGCCCTATCGGCTCTATGTAAGCAAATGACGAGTGCGATGATGGCTTGAGAGACTCTTTCAAGTGATTTGGCTAGATTCTCGATTTGATCCGAACACATCTCTGTGGAAGATGGGAGCCGTTTGATGTTCATCCCGCGAGTTGATATCTTGTTGAAGAAAAGCTGAGACATCTTGATGAGTGGGATTGCTAATTTAGCGAGTTGGATGACTGGTTGACGGACAAGTTTATAAGTCCTTCCCTGAGGATTGTTTGCTTCAGACTCAGTAACTTCGGTATCTGAGCATTGAATTGGGAGGATGATTTCATTTATAAGCATTCTATCGGTCCCTTCCAACTCCCATTGCCATTCATTTTGTGCAACATCCAAGTCAGATCCTTTGATGGCTTCGATAGCCGTCTCGATCAATCGAACTGCCTCCTCGTTGTGCCAGCTCACTAGGAAGCGGTTCTCATGTCGCCCTTCGAATCCATCAAGTAACTTCATCTTCAGATGTTCGAGGAGCTCATCGGCCGCCTGGAAAACTCGACAGATATCTGAAACCGTTTTAACAAAGATCGCTTTGAGACAATGAAGCCTATAGGATTTCAGTCGCTTAAGGTGCTGATCGTTGAATCGATTTGGTGCAGATATGGGTTCTGGACAGACGGCAGCGATGAAGAAGTGGATGTGATCTATAGTGGTTTCGATTTCTTTCTGGATCAGTGTGATGTGCTTGAGTTTTGGCTCTGTTTCTTCAATTAAGTTATCATTGTTTAATGATGATGAGAGAATGGTAAGTTGACGTTCTAGGAGCGGAAGAAGAGTCGATTCTAGTCGAGTTAAGAGCATCTCCTTCCAGGCGGATTCCTCAAGTTCGTCAACCGAGAGAGTTGCCAAAAGTTCTTCAATCGAGGTGTGTTCATGGCGCAGGTTGATAGGTGAATCATACTTCCTGATCAGACTCCTGAAGCCCAGGATAACCAAATCTAGAACAAGTGTTCCGTCAGTTTTGGAAGTCAAGATTGGCATTCATTGATGGAACACTGATACTTGCCAGCTTGCTCGCGAACCCGCTTATTTTGAAGCACAACTGCAGGGGAACTGGTCATTGGGTTATCCATCTGAGGAATACTCTTGGGTTGTGTCTTTTTGGTCCGGACTGCAAGTGTAGAGTCAAGAGGAAGGGCTATGAAACAATCATGTCTGGATATTACCCATGCATACATCCAACACCAAAATCACATCAATGACGTCATCGAGGTTCAACCTCATCATTTCATTTTACGATTTCATTTTGGAGATGAGATGGTGATCAGAAGGAGAGTGGCAGAAAGAAAACTGATGGAAAAATGCAAGAAAGTGTCTGAAGGTGAGAATAAAACGATTTCAAAAAACAAGAGATGAGTATGAAACCTCGTGCTCGAATATGAGTCAGAAGGAGCAGAAGTAGACGAGTGGAGAGAATCAAAGCTGGTTGACAGCTTCAACAAAGTTATGAATGGCTGTCTTGATTGAAGTGTTCCATGTCGCAAACCAAGCCAGGTAGAAAGTTTGTTTTGGATGACCATCGAGTAAGGGAACCAGATGAAGCACTACAAGACGCGATGGAGCTTCAACAGCACTAACGAGATCTTCAGCTGCTTCAATGAAGGACCGACTATCAACGGGATTTTCCCCAAAGTCCGCATCCGCACTGCACAAGAGTTTCCAAATCTTCACGTGATTGGCAAACACTTTTTCGCCACTCTGACATATACATCCGAGTTGTTCAGAGTTCATCTGTGTGAACAACTGCAGTGTTTGACCGTTCATCCCGTGTTTCGAAAATTTTTCGAAGAACAGTCTGGATATCTGTACGATTAGGATCGCCAATTTGCCAAGCTCCATGATCGGTTGATGGGTCAACGGTGGGTCGAGCGCATATCGCAGGGGAGCATTCGGATTGACTATATCGAGAAGAGTGGCTAGCAGGTATTCGATACGGAATACTGTATCTTTCGCACACTCATTGACAACATCCAATTCAGATCCTTTTAGGAGTCTGATAGTGAGCCCGATCGCAGCTACGGCTCTTTCAGTCCAATGTAAATACCACATTACATCGAGATTATTCACGGATCCGCCTGCCAAGAGCTTCATTCGTTTCATGTAACTGGAGATAGCTTTGAAGGAATGATAGACCTCGTCGAGTGTGACACAAACCTGCTTTTCGATCTCGAGAAGCCGATACACCTTGAATTGCTTGAGTTCCTGGTCATCGGTTTGGCTCATGGTAGATAGGTATTGTGGGCAGATGGCGTCAACGGCAGAGCGAATCTGAGTGATATTACCATTGAATTCCGGTTGGATCTCCAGTACGCGCCGCAATTTCAACTCCGATTCTTCCTGCATGCTCATAGGATCTAGTAATGTTGAAAGAGTGATGATGTGGTCTTTCAAGAGAGGAAGAAGGGTCGAATGCAACTGATCGTAGAGAATGTCCCTGGAGTCCATGACTCCATCATCAGGGACAGTGGGAGAGACCTCCCAAGTTGGTATCCGGTCCGGGTCGCATTTACGCATAAGATCTTTGAAACCCAGAATAACCAAGTCTGGAGGAGAAGGTTTCAAGAATCTGTCAATTAATGAGCTGCTCTGTAGGTGATAATTTTGAAATATATAATTTTAAATACCTCTGAGATGTTGAAGCTCTGATCCAGGTTGGTCCACCGGTCTATCGGATGAGCTTTCCATTGTCCTTTGTCTAATCGCGCAAATTGTCTTTGGTTTTGGTCAAGAATAGAGTAGGGAAGTGTGGAATTCGATTTGTTGAATTCAAGTTGTGTTTAGGTATTACAACACCAGGGCGCTTCAGGATTTTTGGGACTGGGGTGAAAAGACCGAGCGGTTGGGTTGTCTCTGTCAGCCTACGGTTCTTGGGTTGCACCTATGGCCAGGCCGCCATGAGGTATTCCGGACACTTTGCGGCGGGAATGACTTCATCTGTGGGGAATCCATCTACACGGGACTCATCCGAATCCCTCCGCATACGGCCAATCGGTGAGACCAACGAGATCGGCTCATTAATAGATGTTCGGTTAAGCAACATTGTCCTGGTCGGTTTCATGTAACGGAATCCTAGAACCCGTTAGGACCTCGTCAATTCCACGGCTTCCACATGGTGTTTTTTTTTTGCGTCTAAAATCCGGGTTGATCCCTCTATAAGGTCCCTGAAGCCGTGAAAACTTGAGAAAACCTGGTTTTGCAGAGAAAAAAAAATGTTAGAGAAAATAATGTCTACTCTGAGCAAAAGCAAAGAAAGAGGTGAAGAGGTGAAAACCCACTTCAAAACGACCGCTGAAGAAGCTGTTGATAACATCACGAGCAGCAGAAACGTGTGTGTTGAGATAAGTGAGGTTGCCCTTGGGAGTGAATTTGGCTCCGTTCCGGGTTTGATGTGCATCTTCTAATCTTTCTTGGCGCCCTGTCTTGCCCCCGCCATTACATACATAATTTGATCGCGGCCTCCTGAGGATCCCCGGGCACACTAATTGCTGTGAACTGGGACTACAGAAAACTTAAAAGGACCCTGGAAACCCCCCATATTGCAGAAGTGTATGGATTTTTTTGGCCAAAAGTGCAACACCCAAAATGGTAGGCATGAAAAGTGGTATGAATGCCCTTTTTGGACAGGAGCATACTCATTTCAATGTAAATTTTACTGGGAAAGGGGGGTTAGTAAAGGTTAGTAAGATAGGTGTATGAAAATGGGGGGGACCAAGAAGAATTGTTTTGTATCCCCATTCCGCCCCCCCCCCCTTGGGCACACTTCCCTGCCTGAAAAAAGGATTCATTCCTATTCCTCCCCCTGGCTTGGAGGTTTTTTTGTCCACTCCCATTTTCTGGATTTTTTATACCTCCTTGACCCCCCCCCCCTTGGGAACACTACACTACAAGAAAACATTGCACAACTGTATGCAGTTGACATGCAATTTTACAAATGTGCCTTTGTCATATCACCTGTCAACTGTTAACAGTTGCATGACTTCTTCTTGCAGTGCTAGGTGTCCCTAATTTACATGATATCAACTATCAAAATAGGATAGGATGTTAGTTGTGTTAAAAGGGTATGATGATTAGTATTGGATGACTTCCCGTCGCGGTTTACAACCCTCCCAGAATTTGATTTACACCCCCAAGATCTTAATTTTTGATATAAAAAAATATTTTTTCATAAGCCTTGGGAAGATAGCTCTCATGTGAGCTGGTTGGAATTATGATTGAGGTGTAAATTTAGGACTGGGGAGGGCTTAAAAAGCACTCTAAATGGCGACGGGAAGTCCTCCATTGGTGATTGGTTACTAAAATTTGAGTTATACAACTCAATTTCAACACATAATGATTCAATCACTTTTTATCCTTGTGGCCAGTCTTTGTGTTTTGTTGCACCTGGAACCTTAGGTGCTACCAATTTCCAAAATTGACTATCTGCAAAATATTTGCTCTGGGCCTCCTAGCAGAAAAAAAATATTAGGCACAAAAAAATTGGAAATCCCCTGAGGCCCATTTCCTGATAACTTGAAACAAGTCTCACACTTCTGCCAGCCTGGTGGGCTGGCTGGTGCCACCCAAGAAGCAAGCCTCTGATGGAGGGACTTGTGCCTAATACACACATTCTCTTGTGTTGCTATCAACATGTTTTGGTTTAGCAATTCTTGGATTGGCCAGCTTGAGTGTAGTTTAGTATTTTTTTAGGGCAGAGTCAGCATGGTCAAAGTTGATAATGGAGGACTTCCCATTGACATTTAGAGTGCTTTTATAAGCCCTTTCCAGTCCTAAATTAACACCTCAATCATGATACCAACCAGCTCACACAAGAGCTATCTTCACAAGGCTTGGTGAAAAAATGTTTTTTTTATTTCCAAAAATTAAGATCTAGGGG